GGCGGTGAAGGAGGCGGCGGCGAGGGCGGCGGCGGGGACGGTGGCGGTGGGCTTGGCGGCGGCGGTGACGGTGGCGGAGGCGAGGGCGGCGGTGACGGTGGCGGCGGGCTGGGTGGCGGCGACGGGGGCGGCGGCGAGGGCGACATGGACGGTGGTGGCGGTGAGGGCCGGGCGGAGGGAGGCGGCGGCGACGGCGAGGCGGAGGGAGGCGGCGGCGACGGCGAGGCGGACGGCGGCGGCGGCGAGGGCGGCGGCGGCGACGGCGGCGGTGGAGGTGGAGAGGACGAAAGGGGCGACGCTGGCGGCGATGAAGGAAGCGGCGGTGGGGATGGAATCGCGTACGAGCTCAGGTGATACGCATCTCCTCCGTTCAGAAACAGCGTAAGAGGCACTTCGTTCAAGAGCTCGTAGTTTATGGATGCCAGCAAGGTGGACGCATTCATCACAGTAGCGTCCGTGTAGGTCACGAGGGGCGTCCCCGCCGACCAGGATGCTCCGTCGTCGGAATGGGTCATCGTGAAGTGGTTTCCGCCCGCGGCGCTCGTTCCGGTAAAAGCGGACGCGTCGCCGGTGGCGGCGCTGACCTTGGAGGCGTCGAGTCCATAGATCTGCAGGAAGTCGGTGGGGCGGTCCGCGCTGAGCTCGAAGACGCCGGCCGAAATTTCGTTCCATGAGAGGCTTATCAGGCAGTGCTCTTCGGGGTTGTCATAGGTGCACACGGAAGGCGGGGGGGGCTTCGGAGGGGCAGGTGGCGGCGAGGGCGGCGCGAAGGGCGGCGGAGGCGACGGATCCGGTGGAGGGTGCCGAGGAGGCGACGGCGGCTGCGGAGGTGGAGAGGGAGGGGATGGCGGCGACGGTGGCGAAGACGGAGGGGGGCTGCTCGGCGGTGGGGAAGGCGGCGGGCTGGGCGGGGGCGGGGCCGGAGGGGGCGCTGGTGGTGGAGACGGAGGAGGGGGTGAGCTGGGGGGCGTCGGTGGAGAAGGAGGGGTCGTGGGCGGTGCGAACCACTCCGCGAGGTGAAGGACGCCGGGGCCCGCCTCCACCCACGTGCCCGGGAGGAAGCCCCCAGGTTTGGCGTGCACCAAGTCTAGATTCTGATGCTGACCGTTTGGAACAAAAAATTGCACCTCCGAGTTGGACGCGCACTTAGCCGCGCCGTTCGACGGCGCGGCGATTGCCAGTTTGGTGGTTGAGGACACGATGAAGTTGTCGTTGTCGCAGTCGCTGTCTTCGATGAGGGAAACGCATCTCTCGACAGGATTGTTCGAATCACACTGCTTGACACTATGCGTGAAGAGGAGACTGAAGGCAGTCCAATTGAGCGGAAGAGGTACGGAGTACCATTCGCCGGACGCGGTGCTTCGGTTGAGCAGGGGCGCGATGGAATGAAGGCAGGTGGGCTCCTCAGAGCAATCAAAATAGCAGAGGCCAGGTGCAAGGTCGACGCATTGGACTGTCCAGAGGTGATGGATCGTAGACTCCAGATTTCTCCGGGACTCACACTGGTCGGGCGACCGATACCTCAGCCGAGACGCGTCCGATTCCAACATGAAAGTTCCTTCCCCGAGGCCTTCCATGCTTTGAAGGCGAATCTGCCTTCCGTAGTCGAGGACATTCACCTCGCCGTCGGGAACGAAATCCCCTCCAACGGCAGCCGAAGATGCCATGTCGAAGCACTGGAACTGGTCCGCGTCGGTGTTATCCACGACGGTGGCGCTGCAGTGATCAACGACGCCAAGAGCAATCTTCATTATCAGGTCTATCTGAGCGATGAAATTTGCTTGCAGATTCGACTTGCTGTTGACGATTCTGAAGTTTTCGCAGATCCGGGGAGCGGGTGGCGACGACGGTGGAGAGGGCGGCGGCGACGACGGCGAGGCGGACGGTGGTGGAGGCGAGGGCAAGGCGGACGGCGGCGGCGACGGCGAGGTCGACGGCGGCGGCGAGGAGGAGGGCGGGGGCGAGGGGGGGGGCGGGGAGGGGGGGTCGAGGTTGGCCTTGTCGGGCAGGGGCGGCGGGGGCGGAGCCGCAGGGGGCATCGGCGGGTCTTGGGGAGGCAGCGGCGGGGATGGAGGCAAAGACGGAGCAGCTGGACTCTTGACGAACGGCCCGGAAGGCGGAGGGGTCGACCGGGCGGGCTGCCGCTCGGAAGGGGGCGACGGCGAGAGAACCGTCAGCGGAATCAGCACGCCGCCCACGACCGACAGGACGAGGACACACACGCCGACGATGAGGGCGAGGGTCATCCACCGCCTGCGCCACCAGGTGGGCTTGGCGCTGAGCCCCTCCGTGTTCGCGCCCCCGCTGTCGAAGGACGGCTCCGGACTCACCGCCGGTAATTCTAGGCTCAACTCTTGGGAGACGCCAGAGGGGCCAGCATGCTCGACCATCCCCGGGAGGCCAGAGGGGCCAGCGGCGGACGTGACGTCCAACGAGGCCCCCGCAGCACCAGGCGCCGCCGCCGATCCCGCCGGAGGGACGTACGGGGCGCGGAGCGAGGAGGTCTGCGTGAGAGGCAGGACGGCGGGCTCCGGCGGCGGCGTGTCTGGCTCGGCCGAGCCGGCCCCCGCCCCCAGCCTTCGCCCCCAGCGCTTGGCCCTCGCTCGCCGCAGAGGATTTGGGGTCAATCGCTGCGCCGCTTCCGTCTCCCGCAAGACCTCGGATGTCCGCTTTCGTTCATCTTCGTCGTCACTCGCCATGCGAGAGCGCGAGCCAGAGGGGCCAGCGGCGGACGTGACGTCCAACGAGGCCCCCGCAGCACCAGGCGCCGCCGCCGATCCCGCCGGAGGGACGTACGGGGCGCGGAGCGAGGAGGCCTGCGTGAGAGGCAGGACGGCGGGCTCCGGCGGCGGCGTGTCTGGCTCGGCCGAGCCGGCCCCCGCCCCCAGCCTTCGCCCCCAGCGCCCGGCCCTCGCTCCCCGCGGAGTTTTCAGGGTCAATCGCTGCGCCGCTTCCGTATCCCGCAAGACCTCGGATGTCCGCTTTCGTTCATCTTCGTCGTCACTCGCCATGCGAGAGCGCGAGGACAGCGGGCGGTGAATCCGGTGGGCTGGCACGGCGGCCGCACGAGGAGTGGAGCTTGGGAGTTGGGCCGCCTTGATTTGATCGAGCAGGTGAGAGATCAGGAAAAAGCAGCGCCAAACTCGGTTTCTTTCGTGTGCCTGTGAATAGAAGAGAGGTGCTAGCACGCGCCAGTTCGCACCTGTGTCGAGCCTGTGTGCCCCAACCGTCTTGAGCGGCTCGCGGTTGCCGAGTCGTGCCTGCCGAGTCGTGCATCCCGTGTCGCGGAAGCGAGCCGGCTCGGGCTCGGGTTCTGAGGCTGTCCATGCTCGGTGGATCTGTCTTGTCCTCCCCGACGTGACATGACAGAGTGTCCCTTGTAATGCGAGAGAGTGCGTTGTGTTCTTGTTCGTCTCCGCTACCACCCAAGACAGCTTGGAGAGCTCCCGGAAAGGCAACATTTCGTAACGATCGTCGCTATTGGCCATCTGCCTCCTGCAGCCTCTGTTGGGGCGGAATGCACGGGGTTTTCGGCGCGATGCCTCCGGCTAGTACACGGTACTGATCTGCCGCAAACTCTCCTGCGCTCGCGTGACGTGTGGGGCGCACGCACTGCGCTCGAAAGTCGCGATTTGGCAATAGGCGCTCGAGCCGGCGCGCAGTGGAGGGGGCGCCGCGCAGGGGGATCGGGGGGGGGTGCGAGAGGGGGCGTGGGTCGGGCGCGCACCGGCCGGCTCCGGGAGCGGCCGTCACGTCGAAGAGGGGACCTGGTGCTGCTCGAATGACGACGCATGCCGCTCTGCTGCGCCGCCGATAGCCCCTCTTCCGAGCCGGCGCGTGGCGGCGAGCCGCGGCCAGTATCGCTGGTGCGGTGGAGGCGGCAGCTTGCATCGGCCGGCAGCGGGTGCGGCCATCACGTCGATGAGGGGGGGTTGTCGGCGACTCGTGTGGCTCGAGGCCTACGCTGCGCCGCCCAAGCCCTACTGCCGATCCAGCGCCTGGCGTTTGGGGCGAGCCGCGGTCGTCGTCGCTGATGGTATGTGGCGGCGGCGGCGGCGGCTCGCCCTTCCCTCCGGCCGCAATTCCGATCCCGCCGCGCTCGCGGGAGGTGGCGCGCCCACCGCGGCACGGCCGTGGCTGCGCATACACCTTACGCCCTTTCTCCTCAACGGCTATCCGTGCTTGCTGTGCCCCTGCGTGGTGTGTTTCAAGTTCTTACAACCCAAGGTGATAGAGGGCAAAAAGATCGATTGCGCTCTTGCCGATCCGCACCTACCTAGGCTCTTGGGTGGCGCGCCCAGCTATTCACAACGAACCTGGTTCTCTTTCCTTACTGTCTGGCCTGGAGACGCCGGAGAGCACCGTATCGCCGGCGGGCTTGTGCAGAGTCGCTGCAACCGCCTGCAGCCACTCTTACCGCGCGCGTCCCACGTATGTGCAAGCCTGCCCGCGGACCCTTCGCCTATGGCGAGCCGTGGTGGCTCGACGACCCGATCGAGATGTCCGCCGACCGCTTCCGCGGCCGGCGGCGGCAACTGTGCTTCCTGCTCGGCGTCGCTGCCTCGTGCGCTGGCGTGGTGGCGTACACGTCACACGCGGGGGTGCTCGTGTGGTCCATAACACCGGCGACGTTTGGCCAGTCCTCCTTTGTCCTGCTGCCCGCCCTCGTCGTTTACCGGATCGCGTGCGCCGCCTTCATCTTTGGTCTCTGCGCCTCCAAGCTGGTGAGCGACTACGTGCTGCAGCGCGGCGCGGGCGCGGCGGGCGCGCGGCTGAACCACTTCGAGACGCTCGACCGCACCGAGGTCGCCTTCCTTGACCACGGCGTGTGGCGCTTCCAGGGCCTCACCTCGTGGGGCTGGGTGCTGCTCGGCTGCTACTTCCTGGTGGCGGCGACCCTCTCGCTGCGCGTGGCGGCGGCGCCGGAGGCGGCGCAGCACGAGGAGCCGGACGGGGCTGCGTGCGTGGCCAGCCTGCTGCTTGGCGTCTCGTCGGCGTATGCGATACTCATCACGCTGACCGTCACCTTTGTGCTCATCCCGTCCAAGCACAGGAAGGGGCTGTCCACGGAGGGCTTCTTCACGCCGTTCGCGCTGTCGCAGCACAACGCGAACCTGGCCATGGTGGTCGGCGAGCTCCTCTGCGGCGCCGTGCCCATCGACCCGTGGCACCTCCCCTTTGCGCTCGGGTTTGGGATCGTCTACCTGTGCGGCTGGCACCAGACCGTGCGCTACAACCGGACACGGACGCTCATGTACCACTTCCTCAACTGGCAGCACCCCCGCTCCCTCCTCATCTGCTCCCTCCTCATGCTCACCCTCGCCGCCTTCTTCGCCTTCGCCGCCCTCGTCGGCCAGCTGCGCCTCCGGCCAGGCGGCGCGCCGATGGTGCTCTGCGCCGCCCTCGCAGTGATGCGGTGGCGCCGGCCGCCGCCGCTCGCGGGCAAGGGCGAGTAGGCCGTTCGGGAGTGGGTCCCATAACCCTAGGTACTGACCGCGACCCGCGAGGGAGGAGCATGCGACGTGGGGGGTACAGGCTGCTCCTGGTGCATGGTGACATGCGCGCGCGGCTCCTCTCTCGCTTGGCGTTACTCGCGGGCCGGTCCGCGGACCCCTCCATGCCGCCCTCTCTCTCTCTCTCTCGGGTCGGCTCTCACAGCACCAGCAGCATGCGCCGTGGGCGTGGGCGCGGCGCGCCGCATTGGGCTTCGTGGGCGGCGCATGTGGGACAGGTTTGGGCGCAGCTTATGTCATGTCATTGCCACTGCGCAGGTCATTCCTCTTCACACTCCGGAATAATTGTTCAGCGCTCGCCCACTCCTGCTAACTGTAACTCGTGCTCGGCGGGGCTCTTACGTCTTAAAGTATAGGCATCAGCCATCACCGCATCACGTCTCGTGTCGCGTATGCGCACTAGGCGAGTTGCTGCGCTTGCTTCGCCGCCTCGTCGACGAGGTCGCGTATCGAGCCGCCTTCGATCAGGTAGTGCATCGCGAAGCCGCACGCCAGGCCCATGAGCGCGAGCGGCAGCTTTGCCCACCAAGAGTTGACGAATCGGAGGATCGGGATCTGGGAAAGGTCATTCTCGGTGCTCCAGTAGACCAAATAGGGCGGAACGAGGAGCACTGAGGGCGATGGCGGGTGTCGGAGTGAGCGGTCGCTGCGACAGGGTGCATGAAAGGGGGGCGCAGGGCGGTCTTGTCCGAGTGTGCGTCCGCAGCCGCAGAGGAGGCCGGAGCCGCACTTGTGAATCTTTTATCGATGAGGTAGGCACCCAAGGCCACGGTGACGATCAGCCCGAAAGTGGACATGCGTCTTGCCCATGTCACAGCGCCCATAGCGAAAAGCAGCGGCGCTGACGAAAAAGAATTCAACCTCGCGCGTTTCGCTCCGTTCTCCCCTCCCTTGGGTTGTCTGTTTTCTTTCTTTCTTTTCCCTTTCCTCGGGCTGTTCCATCTTCCCATCTCCTTCCAACTCAGGCGAGGCGGGGGGGGCGTGGGTGCGGGGTGCGGTGCGGTGTGAGTGTGTGCGTGTCATGTGGCTACAGCAAGTGTCCATCCGTCTGTATTCTTATTAACAACGAAGGCGCTCTCAGAAAAGAATCCCCCCCCCCCCCCCGACGTGCCCACTGGCACTAACACAGGTACCAGTCCCGTGCCTGGTGTCGTGCGAAAAAAATTACCACAGAACTCCCTCGCACAACACTGGGAATGAAGCGGTCATACAATATCGGCGGTCGCTTTCAATCGCATCGGCCCTCCCTCACTGAGTCTGAGAGAGAGAGAGCCGAGTCTTCAGTCCAGCGCAAGCTGGGGGTCGGGCTTCTGACCGCAGGGCGGCTTGCTCTCTCCGGCGCGCAACGGCAGCGTCGTCAGCAGCGTCTCGGCACTCTCGCTGAAGGCGGACGCGGCGGAGACCAAAGTTGCTCCTCCGCCCCCCTGCGGGCTGGCCTCTCCCTCCTCGCCCGCCCCCCTGCTCCCGCCCTCGCCGGCGGCTTGGCTGGGCGGCGAGCGCCGGACGGCCGGGGCACCCCCAGGGGCACCCCGCGGGGGGGCACGGCGACCTGCGGGGGAGGAAAGGGGGAAAGGGGGGGGGGGGGGAGGGGCGTCAACCCCAGACGGGGGCGGAGTGGGCTCCAGAGAGTCAGCGAGAGGGGGAAGGCCTCCCGGGCCGGCGTCGTCAAAGTCGTACGACTGCGCGGGCCGCGGGCCCGCCGGCCGGCGCACGCACGAGGGCAGAGTGAGCGCCTCGACCGCACGAGTCCGTGACAAGTTACCCGAGATTGCGCCCGAGATTGCGCCCGAGATTGCGCCCGGAGATGTGTTTTGCGCGCCTCGACGGTCGGGTCTGGCGGCGGCGGTCTCCTCTCGCGCGTCCTCCTCGCCCCGCCGCGGCGCGCCTACTCTCGCAACCATCTCGGGCGATCTCACGGCGCCATCTCGCAGCGCCATCTCGCGGCCTCCTCGCCCCGCCGCGGTGCGCCTTAGTTGCGCGCGGCGCGGGCTGGACAGCCGCCGCCTCTCGCCCCCCTCCGGTGAGGCTGGCGATCCCTCCCGCCACCCACGAGCCAACCGCCGTGGAGAGAGACGTCGGCGCCTCGCTGCCGGCGGCGCTGCCGGCGGCGCTGCTCATGGCGCTGCTAGCCATGCTGCTGGCGGCGCTGCCGGCGGCGCTGCCGCGGCTCTTCCGCGCCCTCCGCGCCCGCGTGTCGATGCTGGTCATGCGGTCGAAGACGTCCGCCTAGCACCCCGCGCCTCTCGAGCTCTATCTCGGCTATCTCGGCAACCCCTCGGCTAGACCGGGTACAGGCCATGCACCTCGGCTGCATCTCGGCTGCACCTCGGCTGCATCTCGGCTGCACCTCGGCCGCATCTCGGCTGCACCTCGGCCGCATCTCGGCTGCACCTCGGCCGCATCTCGGCTGCACCTCGGCCGCATCTCGGCTGCACCTCGGCCGCATCTCGGCTGCGTCTCGGCTGCATCTCGGCTGCACCTCGGCCGCATCTCGGCTGCACCTCGGCCGCATCTCGGCTGCGTCTCGGCTGCATCTCGGCTGCACCTCGGCCGCATCTCGGCTGCACCTCGGCTGCATCTCGGCTGCACCTCGGCTGCATCTCGGCCGCATCTCGGCTGCATCTCGGCTGCACCTCGGCCGCATCTCGGCTGCACCTCGGCCGCATCTCGGCTGCGTCTCGGCTGCATCTCGGCTGCATCTCGGCTGCATCTCGGCTGCGTCTCGGCTGCATCTCGGCTGCACCTCGGCTGCGTCTCGGCTGCACCTCGGCCGCATCTCGGCTGCGTCTCGGCTGCGTCTCGGCTGCATCTCGGCTGCATCTCGGCCGCATCTCGGCTGCGTCTCGGCCGCATCTCGGCTGCATCTCGGCTGCGTCTCGGCTGCATCTCGGCTGCATCTCGGCTGCACCTCGGCCGCACCTCGGCTGCACCTCGGCCGCATCTCGGCTGCATCTCGGCCGCATCTCGGCTGCGTCTCGGCTGCACCTCGGCCGCATCTCGGCTGCACCTCGGCTACGTCTCGGCTGCGTCTCGGCTGCATCTCGGCTGCATCTCGGCTGCGTCTCGGCTGCACCTCGGCCGCATCTCGGCTGCACCTCGGCCGCATCTCGGCTGCGTCTCGGCTGCATCTCGGCTGCACCTCGGCCGCATCTCGGCTGCACCTCGGCCGCATCTCGGCTGCACCTCGGCCGCATCTCGGCTGCGTCTCGGCCGCATCTCGGCTGCACCTCGGCCGCATCTCGGCTGCACCTCGGCCGCATCTCGGCTGCACCTCGGCCGCATCTCGGCTGCGTCTCGGCCGCATCTCGGCTGCACCTCGGCCGCATCTCGGCTGCACCTCGGCCGCATCTCGGCTGCGTCTCGGCTGCGTCTCGGCTGCACCTCGGCCGCATCTCGGCTGCACCTCGGCCGCATCTCGGCTGCGTCTCGGCTGCATCTCGGCTGCACCTCGGCCGCATCTCGGCTGCACCTCGGCCGCATCTCGGCTGCGTCTCGGCTGCATCTCGGCTGCGTCTCGGCTGCATCTCGGCTGCACCTCGGCCGCATCTCGGCTGCACCTCGGCCGCATCTCGGCTGCGTCTCGGCTGCGTCTCGGCTGCACCTCGGCCGCATCTCGGCTGCACCTCGGCCGCATCTCGGCTGCGTCTCGGCTGCATCTCGGCTGCGTCTCGGCTGCATCTCGGCTGCACCTCGGCCGCATCTCGGCTGCACCTCGGCCGCATCTCGGCTGCGTCTCGGCTGCATCTCGGCTGCGTCTCGGCTGCATCTCGGCTGCACCTCGGCCGCATCTCGGCTGCACCTCGGCCGCATCTCGGCTGCGTCTCGGCTGCGTCTACGCCTCCTGAGGCTCGCGGCGTGGCGGCGGCTCCTCGCCGATGGCGCGACCCTTAACGAGCGCGCCTGTTGGGGTGCGGGTGGGGGGGGGGGACATGGGGTGGGAGGGGGCGGGGGGGGGCTGGTGGGGGGAGAGGGGGCAAGACGGCTTCGAGAGGTACGCAGCCGGAGGGGCTGTGGCTGGGTCGGGCGCGCACACACACGTCCCAGCTACCGCTATCGACAGCGGGTGC